ATACTGTGTTTAGTTTTGAGCCCCTTACTAAAAGAAGGACATTGAGGTGCTGGAGCATGTCCAGAGAAGAGCAACAAAGCTGGTGAGGGGTCTGGAGCACAAGACTTATGAGGAGCAGCTGAGGGAACTGGGGTTGTTTAGTTTGGAGAAAAGGAGGCTGAGGGGAGATCTTATCACTCTCTACAATTACCTGAAAGGAGGTTGTAGTGAGGTGGATGTTGGTCTCTTCTCCCAAGTAACAAGCGATAGGAGAAGACGAAATGGCCTCAAGTTGCACTAGAGGAGGTTTAGATTGGATATTAGGAAAAGTTTCTTTACTGAAAGAGTGGTCAAACCCTGGAACAGGCTGCCCAGGGAAGTGGTGGAGTCACCATCCCTGGAGGTGTTCAGGAAATGTGTAGATGCGGCACTTCAGGACATGGTGGTGGTAGGTTGACAGTTGGACTTGATGATCTTAGAATCACAGAATTATTAAGGTTGGAAAAGACCTCTATCTTTAAACATTCAGCCCTAATAGGCATTTTTGGTCTCACTGTTTCTATACAATATTCTGTGTTTTTCATTAGTGGATGCTGACCTTCTCAGACCTCACAGGAACATTGTAAAAACCAAACTACCATTATGTTTGTATAACACAAAGATTAATGAGGAGTACCCCAGGAAAAGCTATTAGAAAATTTTATCTTTGGTTGATTCTTTAAATCAAGCAACAGGGACAATGAAGGAAAAGAAAAAAATCCAACTAGTAATGTTGACTCATCCAATGTGTGTGACGCACGAATTCTAAAAAGAATGAAAAAACCCTTCATATGGTCATGTAATTAAAGACAAATTCATTATGTGAATTCACAACTTCACTTTGTTTCTTAAGTTCTGATGTAAACCTAACACCAGCGTTTCAAATCTGTGTATAGTATCATACCAGTTTTGCTCCAGATTTCAAAAAGCAACTACTCTTGGATTTTACAGAAGAGGGTAAAAGCTCCAATCTGAATAGTTACAAACCAAGAATAGAAATAAAAGCTTGTATTGGAGAAAAATAAAGTTTTAAAAATCAACTTTATCTACATTTACCCCCCAACAGAAAGGTATGTGCAAAAACAACAGCAGAAAAATCAACTTAAGAGTGCCATCAATCCTAACAAATCCGTACATCCACCATCATTATACCAATGTATTCAATTCATTTATTCAGATACTGTTCTTCTTAGAAGGAATTTCCCTGAGGAATACTGTGCTGCTCCTATCAACCCTTTCTAACCCAGCATTAATCCTCAGGAAATTCAGGCAGGCTTTGATCATCTGTAACTCCTGAAAGAAGGGCAAGATAATCAAATTTCAAATTTGCAGCAGTTTCTACAAAGAAATATTTAAGATAAAAAAAGCCACAAAAACTGTATCATCTAAAGGATCTGGAGAAAGAAAGGGAGGAAAGTGCTGCTGGCCTAATAGCACCACTCTATTTTCATTTTATTTTTTTAAGTAAACAGCAAAACTAAAAGTAAGAAATGCCACAGGCTGATTTTTGTTAAGACTTCATTGCTCAGGTCAGGAACCCTACCTTTAAAGTCTCCTACAACCTTATAAACAGCTTTTCAGCTTTTTCAGCTTATCACATTTTATGCAGGCTTTTTAGAGGCATAAAAAGCACGCATAGGGATATGAAGGAGATAAAACATCTAAGTTTAACTTGTACAGACTGTCTCTTTGCTCTGTTTGTAGACAGGGTACAAAACAATCAGGTTCTGGTCCATAACTGCAGGTTCTGACATCCTGCAGTAACATCATTGGTAGCAATACTTAAATGCAAATTGTCAAAAGCTGTTAGATAAAATTATTAACAAAGAAACAAATGTAAGAAATCGCACACAGTTGGTTTTGCTAGATTAACCTGAGCAGTTACTGTAAGACATTTTACATCTGAGTAAATGCTAGAAAAAAAGATGCTTCTGGCAAGACAACAGACTTTTAATTTTTTTTTTCTAAAAATCCCATTTATGTGTGTAATTTTAGACAATTTTGTTATTAGCACTTAGTTTAGTTATTAGTAACTAGTCATTATCACAGTAACACACAGAAGCCTTCATGTTCCCAATACAGATTTAAAAGTTAATTTCTATTCCCCGCTAGGTAACCAAACAAATCAATTATTACCTCTCGCCTGCTGTTCTTTTTAAAAAATTAATTACGAATTACAAACAAGAATCTCAAAGTTCACTTTACCTGTAAATGCTTTGGGCTTTACAATCACTGAATCAGGTCCACTGGAGAATATCGGCCTTTTGATATTCACATCACTTGAACAAAAAAACAAAACAAAACAAACAAAAAATAATAATATAGTAAGGCTGTAAGATTTGAAGGTAACAATTATCACATTTTTTCTTAACTCACTTCAAATAAGTAACACAGGAACCACAATAATTTTTTTTTACTTCAAGATTACTCTGCTTCCAATATCTGAATTCATTCTGTATTTCCTTGAGATCACTACCAGCGCCCTCAGAATTCAAAGTTTTGCAGCACTAGGACACAAATCTCATGCACACTCTTACTGACATGACTTACTGGATACCGCTATCAAGCTGCCAGAGGTCTGCAAGAACCTCTGGGAACTGACCACAAAGATGGGGAGTTCCCAGCTTGTGGCACGTGTCCCACTCCGGAGACAAACCACTTGACGGGGTACGCTGCAGCAGCAGCCCCCAGCTCTGCCAGCTCTGTAGGTGCTTACCACTGTTTTCAGCCCCCTCAACCCCACAGCCTGCCTCACAGCATGTGGCAGAGCTTGCAGCAGCCCAACATCACCACTGCCTGCTGTTCCAGACGTAGACTAGGCCAGTGGTGGTGTGCCCTGCCTCTGGGGGAGGTGGTAGTACCAGCCAACGTCCAAACAGCTTCAGAGATCCCCAGCAGTAAGGTCTGCCAGTAGGACAGCAGTTGGCTGAATACAGAAGCAAAGCTCATCCCCCTGAACACCAAGAGACCTCAGAAGGACTTGTTTGTGGATGTCAATGAATCCTGACTGTTTTGTGTTGGACACAAGTCGTTATTGTATAGCTGTGACAGGTGCAGAGATTTAATACTAAGGTTTTGTTCTGTCTTTTGTTGCTGTTTTAAAGAGAATCCCTGTCTAATATTTTTCTCTATTTAAGAAATAGATTATTTGGAACTTCTATAAGCCATTTCAGTCAAGAATTTCAGAGCCAAACAAAACAAACAAAAACCAAAACAAAACATGCAAAAAACCCCAAACCTCCCACTCTCATTTAGAAACATCACCGATCAGTATCAGCCATATTTTACCAGTGAAATGGCACAGAAAGTCAAAAGACTCATTTACAAACTTGATAAAGAACAGCCAAAAGACAATTTCACCGATAGTTACTTTTGATTTCTGGTCTTCAGTTACAAACATGCATGCACACTTTCCTAATTAAACTCTTTGAAGGTGCTAATCTAAAATCTTTCTCAGTTTAAGCCTCAAGTGGACATACTGCTGAAACACTTTTCCTTCAATACCTTTTTTTGGAGAGCAAGGCAGCAGCCTGCAGCTACAATTCTGATGCTACACAGTGGCTAACTTGGTCTAATTTCAGATGAGGGTATATATAGCAGCAGTCCCATCACATCTACCCATGCACTAAGAGATGTATTCTTTTAAATGCTGAATGCAGAAGAAAAAGTTGACTGTGAAACTGATTTGATTAGACACTTTATATACACATGCAGAGATCATTTCCACTTGCCCACATATTGCTCAGCAGTTTGCTCTACCAGGTGTTTTCTTCATGACTGACTTAAAATTATTCCTAAGATTTGAAAGTCATACTGAGCAACAAAGAACACGTTGCATTACATGCAAGATGACTTTTGCTGAGGATAAAAGCAATTAGTATTTTCTGTAAAAATAAGTGTAAAACCTGGACCTTTTTTAGGTAGTTCAGAAAAAATACAAAAATGCATCTCAAAGCATTGTTACTGGTATTGCAAGCATAGGCATGGAAACAAAAAAACAAGGCAACAGTCCCCCAGACAGCCACCAGATTTAGACAGCATGCTTTTGTGAAATTTAGCAGGTGCACCAGGGTTGAATTCAAAGCACACAGAGAGAACTACACTCCAAGTTTCTGTAGTTTAAGATTACTGTGTTCTTGCACGGCTCAATGGAGGCAAAGAGAATATTCAACAGCACACAAACACCTGCTCCTGCCGATGCACACCTCCTCTAAGGCAATCTGTCATATTTTACCAATAACCTACAGTTGATCTTCAAAAAGAAAAAAAGAACAAGAAACCCACTTGACTAAGTATATATAAATTCAACAACATACATACCTTTGGAAAAAGAGGCTTTCCTCTTGGGTCAGAAGACCTTTTTGATATCCACCCTTGGCATGGCTGATTCGGCTGGCACAGGACAGTTTCCGAGGCTTATAACAGAACCATGGCTCACCCGTGTAGAGATCTGTGAAGTTACAGACCGGGAGATCTCCAGGCAAGCAAACATTGCACTCAGTAGTTTCTGAATATCTCCCAGACTTGAATGAGCTTTTGAAATAGACCCTGTCTGGCCTCTCTTCTCGTAAACGCAGGAGGACCTGGATTGCTTCACTCGGATGGACAAGGGACACAGAAACTTTGACCTCTCCCGGCCACAGCAAGGTAAAGAAGACTTTGTAAAGGCCGTTATGGCAATCTACAGTCCTTCCTGTTGCTCCAGCTTTCATCAGAGGAGAGTGAATCCGTGCCTGCAGATAGTCTCCACCGTGCTGCTTGGGTTTTCCTTGGAAATCCTTCATACGAACAAGCACCTCTAACTGATCACCCACCTTGAGGAACCCACTGGGTTTCACAATCACAAAGTCACTACGTGCAGGATCAGTGCTTTGTACAAAGGCAACTTTGCCATCCAAGGGTTTTGGCCATTGCAGTGCAGCGAGTAACGATTCCTGTTCCGCTTGCTCTCTTTTGGACAAAATCTGCTGCTTATAACCACAGTAAGGCTTCCTGGTAGTTTTGGCTGTCTGTGACAGAGAATGCTGGAGGTTGTTTTCTGTTATCCAGTTTGGTCCTGAAACTGTGTCATCATCCAGGTGCTGTGGAGGAAGAAGATTACCTGAGACTGTGCTATTAAATAAAATACTACAAAATAATGGATGCTCTGTCAGGAAATTATCTCAAGAACTGGGCTTTGCTTTACAGAGCTCTGAAGCTGACCAAATGCAGCAACTTTACCAGAAGACACAAACCCGTTACTGTAACCGTGGGCTTTCTAAGGCAACGGGTGGGCAACGTGCAGTTACCCTGCTCTGGCAAAAAGCCTTTTATATAAATCAGGCCAAATATTTTCTGTGGCAGTATTTTGGCTCCTAGTGTATTCTGTAATTATCAGCAGTGTGAAAAAAATTACAAGAGGTCATATGATTAAATAGTAAATTGTAAGTCACATTTAATTTTCTTAGTGTCTTCAAGCACAAGGTCTAATAGGTGCCCAATATAATGCAAGGAAACAGGGTTTCTCTGAGACATTACACCGCAGACAAAGCTGATGCACTCCCTGCACATGCCTTCTAGACAAGACTGCTGCATGTAGCAGCTGCAGTCATTTATCTGGTCACACTCACACTGCTCCTTATCTAATTATCCAGAATGTGGGTTTCCCAGTAATGTACAGATTGAAAGAAATGGAAGAAAAGGAAGGAATGCTTCAGGGGCAATGAATTCATGAACTGGTGGGGAAGTAAGATAGTCTGGCACAAGGTAGGACTAAACAGGCAAAAAAATATTTGCTAGACTAAGAGACAGTGTCCAAAACTGTATTTTTATGCAAATGACTGCAGAGATGCTATCTTCTTCATGACATCACATAGTTTTGCAGGTTTGCAGTAGGGAAATTTGAAAAACAGCACAGTCTAAGACCTCAGAGCTACCTGTGAGATTTCTAATCAGCAAATGAAAACTTACACCTCAAATATGCACAAAATTAGTAGTTAATGAGTACTTCATTGTCAGGTATATATAGCAGAACTTATCCATACTCGTATTTCATACAGAAGCAAAATATGTCAAATAGTTTTCCAAGCAGGTATTAAAATTATACAGTGTACCTTTCACATGGCATCAGAGAATATGCTAGTTTAGATTTGAAAGATTACTAAAAAAATAAAACTACACTAGTAGTAGTTTATTTAAAGATCACTGTACGTACCAATAACCTAGCGTTTTCCCTTCACTTCCTCCCTAATTAACTGCTCGGTAATGCACTAAAAGTCCCAGCACTGACATTGAAGTCTTATTTACTGTTACAAGCCTTTCTTAGTCCACTGAAGTATCACCTAGAGTGCACGTTCATCCCAAGTAGCTTACCCCTGCTACATTTTACTTGAATTTGCCAGTATATGAAAGTTTGAACAGAGAGCCAATATAGTTTTTTAGAAGATAAACTTAACAAGCAATAGAAAGGCACAGGCTTTTGGAGCTTGTTACATAAGAAGTTCGTTTTGATCAGCTTAAGAGTAAGAGGATAACGAGCACACTGGGCTGTAGGATGGATACACAGAATCTTCTCTGCTTGATATCCACCTTAACTATAAAATCTGAAATTGCAAATTGTTACATGTTAACTATAAAATGTAAATTGACAGCTAGCCACAGATACACAAAATGTTATTATCACAATAGAAGCTTTTGCTTCTGTTTTACCTTTCCACCCAGGATTTAACAAAATTTCCCTGAAGGACATCTGAGTTAATTTGTAATTATTTCTATTTTGCATCACAGCGGGCAAAAATGCAATTATATCACTGCACAACACTTTTATCAAACCAGTAAATTTCAGGCAAAGCTGAGAATGAATTTCAGGCACAGTTCTACTGTAAAACTTCTCTACTTCTCACTCTTGAATTAAGCCAAGTTTCTATATTTGTATACCTTCACAACTTCCTCCTTTCATTTGCTCATGCATACGCATAACACAGAAAACACTGCATGGAAATATTTTTTGAAGTTAGCTATATATTTTGATGCATCCAACAAGCTGGTGACCATGTGTCAGAAAAAATACTTTAGCATTTTCCTGAGGAGGGGTGGAGAGGCAGAATACGTGTGTTGATTAATTCTTGTGTTCAGTATAACATCTCAAGAGAAAGTTTCTATATTCTGTTCATTCTTCAATGGTTGGTACTTCAACAGGTAGGGGGCATGGAGGGGGGGGAAAATCCTTTCAAATGAAAAAGAAAGATAGCTATTTAAGAAGGTCTTAAAACCAGACCTATCACTATTTTTAACCTTCTAGAAATTTCTTCAGGGTTTTTTAGCCAGTCTTTCTGTCAGAGATGTAGGAGATGTCATTTATGGTCAGCTTTTCTGAAGCCTTTCCAAGGGCATACCTATAACTTCTAGTGGAAAAGGGTGCAGAGAACACCAAGCCAACATACTCATACATTCAAAAAGCAGGGCAAAGAACACAATTTGATGTCTCTAAAGCAGTCCATCCACACAGCCTTTTTAGCAAAGCACCAGGCCAAAGCTCTTCACTTTTATGCCGCTGAGGTCCCAGACAAGCACTGTCACTTCAACTCCAGCATCTCCAGGTTATGACCCATTAAGCAGAACAGAACATACCACAAGTATTTCCTAGTCAATCTTCAAAGGAAAAAAAAATTTCTATGAAGGTAAAACCAGAGCTTCTTCAACATCCTGAAGGGCCATTCTTTCTGTAACATTCTTGTTCATCTTTACAGCCTTCTCCCAAGCCCAAACAGGACCATGTATTATTGCAGAATTATAAGCTTATGAGTGAAAGTAAACTACATCATGTATGCTATTTACAGATAAAATATTACAGAGATTCCATTTCCCAGCTAAGGCAGAGAAAGCTTCAGAGTCAATTAATACATCAAAGATCCTTGTCTGGAATAGAACAGCTTTCCAAACCATCTTCCTTTCTTAAGTGCTTCCCAGGCTCATCTCCAAATAAGTGCTGAAGCTCTCCTGTCCCTGTCGACACACATGGCTTGCCCTGAGGCAGATTAATAGCTTGGTCCATCCCCACTCCATTCCCTACCCTGTCTTTCACTGACATTTCCAAATCTCTCTGGCTCCTGTATGCTAAGAAGTCATACTGAGCCCATGCAGAACTGTAGGGTCTCTGCTCTAGTTAGCAGCCAAAATAAAATTTCTTCAAGTAGGGCAGATAAGTATTTCTCAAGATTCCTCAAGAGTCCCCTTCCTTTGTCTTATAACACAGATTCTTCTAATTCTTAATACAATCTCCACATTGAATAACACTTGCCTTGTTTTGCTTATGTCCACATATACTCCATTCAAGGCATTTTGATTCTGAATGCAATATCCAAGGAGGGGTTTGTGTGTGTTTGTTTGCGTTTTTGTTGTTGTTTGCATGTGTAGGTTTTTGTTGTTTCTTTGGGCTTTTTCAGTTGTTATTTTATATTTACTGCATTCTGAAGTTAACCAGAACCCAAATGTGGTCACAAAGTAATTTAATGGATGTCTGCCAAGTAACACAGGCAAGACAGAATGGATTACATGTCAATTAAGCACAAACAAATCCACAAGCTGTTCCTGGTACATGAAAGATGTCATTAAAAGGAAAAAAAGGAAGCTGTATTTTCAGGAGAACTACTGGAAGTTTCAGCTCAGTTACTCAGCTTTTAATATTCTCATTGCCAACTAAGCAAAAAATCAGATATAACATAGCCCCACCCAGGCAATCATGCTCTCAAATATATTCTCAAAGAAAGGTCACAGGGTACTTACTTAGACCTGCAACGAACACTTGTCATTGTTAAACACATTGTTAAATGTGTTAAAACAATGTGTGAACACACATTGTTAAATGCAACAGTATTTTGGTTGATTAAAAAAAAATAAATGTTGAGTATGTCAATCACTGCTGAAAAGGTGGAACTCCATCCCAAGGCCCAGTATCTTCCACCAGCTGCAACTCTGAGCTTGGCCGAGTACATTCAGAACAACTGCTGTAAACCTGCGTATGTCACTAACAGTAGAGCAGGAAAGATTGCAGGAGTTTCCCAGGTGACTGGCATGGAGGGGGAGAAAATGTTCCCGTTTGCCCAACAGAGTGTCTTAATTTACACAGCAGACAATATTTGAAACTGAAAAAATATCAATTACTAACAGGTCAGTCATGTTATCTTCAGTAATTTTACAATCCAGGTACTTTAACCCTATTTGTTGTCCTGAGAGGCAGGAGATCAGTTCACTGTCTCAACTGCCTCACAGCACTGAATGGGTGCTAAGTTACTCTAAACGTCAAAGCCATTCCTAAAAAGCCATCACCTGCCAGACAAATGTTCCAGCAATAGTCTGAATAAGATGAGGCAGTTACCTTTTGTAGGCATCTGCAATTTAGCAGCAAGGATAAAAAACTTTGTTATGTCGCTCTTTTGTTCAGTTTCAGCTGGTTGATTCCACACACCATTCCTTCACCCTGGCAAGAAACTTCCCTCTCCCCATACACTCTCTTTTCTAAGTGCTTTTATTTACAAAAATGCTCACAACCAATCCTGCAGCGGTTCTACCACCCCAAAGGCAACTGGTACACATATACGAACCCTCCTGTATCGCAAAGGCATGATGTTACCCCTTGGCAACCAGCTGATACTTTGTGGAAAATTATTGAGCATTTTATCTGTCTGGCTGTGTTTGCCTTCTCCCCCTAAAAAAAAACCCCAACAAACCTAACCAATAAAACCACAAACCCAAAAACAAAACAAAAAACCACCACCAAACAAGCAAACAAAAAACCCCAATCAAAGCCCAAACCAACACATTTCTTCTGCCACTCAAATGCAGCGGTCAGTTGTGCACCTCAAGGGAGGAGTTACTCCACACTAAAAAGCAAATTAAACAATAAGCAGGCTATCAAATGTTTTGTGGACAGCTTTTTTGATTTTTAAATACAAAGTAAGAAAAGAAAAATTCTGACATGTGTAGGGCTGTTGAGAGGGTATCATTAGTGATATGGCCATAGAAGAGATGTCTTTACAAAATAGGGATGTACGTCAAAGGCCTCACGAAGATCACCATATGAAGACAAGTGATTAGAGGGAACCAATCAGAATCCAGAACCCAAACCGCAATCAGAAACTACAAGTGCTATATTAGTGTTTGAACTTTCGACCTCTGCTTGCCTTTAAGCTCAGTGCACATGCTTAATAGGCTACTAAATATTAAGTTCGCTCTGGGTGGCATAAATTCAAAGTTACATGCGAGGTATGTAACGGGAGGGGGCACACATTAAGGGGAAAAATGCAATAGGTCTGGGAAGTCTACACCTTCTGAGTACCTCAGCTAATGGGGAAAGGGAGAGGGATACTGTGGTCAGGAAATTAGGATCAAAAGGAGGCTGCACCCTCCAGAAATTTGACAGACCCCACAGGGGAATGCCCCATGGACTCTCCCTTTATTCGAATCAAGTTTCTTTTGGGCTCCTTTATCTCCTTTGGAACCATTTATCTCTGGCAGCGGGATTTTCAGAACATTACTAGCTTAAGAATCCAAGAGGGAATATTCCAACATCAAAAAGTATAAAATCCTAAAGAGAAAAAGCAGAGAGGCTAGCTGGGGGCTAGCTGATAATTGCCTTAGCTCTTCAGCTTCACCCCTACATTAAGTGATTTGGGGATGAGAAGCACGTCTGAGGCATTTACAAACACATTTTCAACAGTAACCAACAATAACCCTTCCTTCTAGAACCTGAATGGATTTGGTTACAGATATTCTGTGAAAGCTTTCTAAGACTTTTTCTGGCTTTGTTCTCTGACTGAAGAGAACCACCATAGATACCTATACTAGACTGCCTGGAAAGCTGTGCCAAAGACAGAGACAAATAGCAGAGCAGGTCCATTCAGAAAACTCAAGACAACAACAGGGCTTCGAGTTGCATGTTATGGCATCAAGATTTACCAGCAACACAATTCTTAACTGAGTTTTGAATATCTGATATGTAAAAGTCAACAAAGCCACATAGATATTGTCATGAATAGTGGCAAGAAAAAACACAGAGTGAACACACATGCTGAATTTTTCATTTCATTCCTGAAGCTCAGCCAGAGCCCTTTTCTCTAAGAAATGTAGTTTTTAAAAAGAAAGTAGTGTAAGATTTAAAATATCAAAACTATTTTTCATGCAACATCCTAGGCCGAAAGATAATCACAGAAAGAGACAACAAAAGAAAAAGCTATCTTCTACGTTACATAAAAATAATCATATTAACTCAAACCAAAGGTCCATCAAACACGGTATTTTGATTTTCAGTAGCTCCCAACAGCAGGTATGTGGGAAAAGAATACAGGCCAAACACGTTCTGATACTTTCTCCTGAAGACTTAATCTAGTTTCTAGCACTTTATGGCTTAGAGACTTTTTAAACACTAGGGCTGACATCTTTAAGATTTAGTATCCTCTAATGGAAATTGCTTCTATTAATTCATCCAGGCTTTTTGAATATATGCTTTTAGCAGCTACACAGTCTTATTGCAAAGACTTCTGCACCTTCACTACACTCCAGTAAAAAAAACCACCCCTGCTTCCTTTGAATTCAGCATCTGCAGTTTTTATTTATTGTCTCCACTAGTACTGGAATAGGTACATTCATTCTTTAGTTATTGATCCTGTGCCACTTGTGATTTTAGACCTCTCAAACATCTTCCTTGCCCCTATCCGACCCTCTTACAATTCAACTGTATCTTTTTGAAAGTGGCAGGGGATTTTACAGCCCCTCTTACAGATAATTTCATTTGGGCATCACCAGCCAGGAGAAGGAAAAAAAAAAAAAAGGACTCTGCAAGCAGGATGCACACAACCTAAAATCAAATCAATTATTGATTGGCTAACATGTATAAAAGATGACTAGAATTTAATGAGGTATTCGGCTAAGCACTATTATGCTCACCCACCAAATGCCACACTGGATAGTCTGGCCAGGCAGGAAGCAAATGGACAGGGGTCAGCTTTCAGGGCTCCCTGGAACGGATCCTTAGTGATTTTACCAGTCTTGACTTCAGTCTGGTGTTATCGACTAATGCAGTTTGAAAGTACCTCTGCACTAAAGCAATTAGTAAAATTAAGAAATATGCAAGTCAGACACAGCAGAGGGGTAAAAGGAAAAGGCAAATAAGAGTTGCATCAGTACAGGCTGGAGATCAAGTAGCTAGCTAACAGCTCTGCAGAAGACCACCTAGGAACTCCAGTGGACAGGAAAACTGGGTGTGCATCAATAGAATAGCGCTGCGGCAAGGAATTACCAAGAGCATAACCCTCCGTGAAGACTGTGAGATCTCAACTCAACAATACCCTCAACTTTGAAGTTAGCCCTTTGAGGAGGGTGTTCAATTAAATACCTCCAGACAGCCCTTCCAGTCTGAATTTTCTGCAATTCCCAGTTGTAGCTAAAAGCTGTCAGCCATAGTTTTAACCCTACCCCCAAAGAGAAGTAACGTTGCTCAAGCCCTCTTGGAGAAGAAACAGACTCCACTTACCTCTAACTGAAAAAAATTATGGACCAGCACCACAATAGCCAGAACTGCCATAAGCAGGCAGAACATTTGCAATCTGAACGAGTCACGCCACATTGTCCATTCATGTCTTTCCCTCCCATGTTAGACACTGCCATGACTTCCATTCACCACAAACATGAATGTCATTTTGTCTCAGTAGTGCACAGGAGAATTCAGTTGACTTCCACTTCATTCCTGCAAATGCATGCACAAAAACTATATTAAGTCCCCAAAATATTTTCTATATTATATAAATATTTATACATTTTAATATTTAGAAGTAAAGTCAAGTTCAACACTGAAAGCGTATTTTAATGGCGGAACTTTGCACAGCAACAACTGGTACAATAGAACTGTTAAGACAGATTTTTGTGGCATTAGTCTGAACAGTGCTATCCATTGTGTTACCTAATTCTCTTGGGCATGCCAAGGAAAAACCTTATCATAAAGCCAGTCTCACCTGTATTTGATACCAAAAAAAAAAAACAAAAACAAAAAAAAAAAAAAAAAAAAAGAAGAGTGCAAGATCTATTTCTGGCAACCAAACAATAAAACAAACAACAACCACCCTATTTATCCATTAGGCCACACTATCACCACCCAGCCATAACGAGCCCAAGACTTTTAGCAGAAACTTGTGTTTTTAGACATCTCTCTATTTACCTGATTAGAGATTCCAGTAAGCTGCTACTAAAGTCTAAGGTCTGAAGCAAGGCTGGATAAGCAAGATAAAAGAGACTTTCTCCAGTTTCCTGCTGGGGAAAGGGGAAAAAATAGCTGTAACACCCATCAGTTAAACAGAAGATATCTAACAGAGCTGAATGCACTAAAATGGAACTTCAGAAATCTTCTATAACCTTAGACTACATCCTTCCTATTGTTTGGGGCTTTTAAAAACATTCCTTTTACATTATGTACTCCTATACAGCTCTAATGGTAAAAAGTAAACTTCTGGGAGGAATGCAAGGTGTTGGGTATTGGTTTTGTTGTTAGTGATGTTTTCTTTTTTAAAAAATATAATTATAGCCAAGTTTTTAATAATATTTAACATCCATAAAATATACTAGGTTTTGAGGTTGCTTGACAGCTGATCCATTATCAAATCACAGACTTAACAACCACTGATAAACAGTCCTCACAGCTTAATGCTTGTTTCTTCTTCTTTAGAGGGACAATTTTAAGGCAGTCATTTTGCAAGCAAAAAGGGTACTATTCTTGCAGGAGAAGCTCTAAACTTGGAACGAGACAACAGATGGCAAGGAGAGACAGTCAAAAGACACCAGTCTCTTCAAACCTAATATTCTCAAAGCAGCGTTACTCAGACAAGCATTCACCAAGTGCAACAACATAATCAAATTATTAGATAACTTTGTATAACTTTCTATAAATAGTATAGCAGAGAAGATACACTGTTTACTAAGACTATATGAAGAATGCAGTGTAAATTTAAATTAAGCATAATGATACATTAAATATCAAAATTAGCTAATTAAATCATTCATTAAATGGACACAGACTAGAAAATTGAAATATATTACTGATATAACCAGGACAGTCTCAAAATAGACTGCACATGAAATTGCTTTACAAGGATTACAGGGATTATAACTTCAAATGCTTTGCTGAGATTTACAGAGATTTTTATATTTCTGGCTGATGAACAAGCATTGAAAGAGCAAGATGTCCACCAAAGCAAAAGTATTAAATTGACACAATGCAACAAAAACGCAGCTTTGTGGAACAGTTCTGCACTAATATAAAGAATTAAATTTGTCTAAAACATCAACTTGGGTTTTAAATGATAACTGATAATATACCTAAATACATTAAAATGCTAATTTAAGGCCATATATGAACCATGCGAGGAACAGAAACAACATGAGAGAATGGGGAAATGTATGCTTTTGTTGCTGAGAAACACTCTTCAAATCTCCAAAAAGCATGCGACGCTGAAAATGAAAAATTTTCTGTGTTTCTGTAAATGTCACGTGTTCCAAAACATTTCAATGTACAGGTTTAGAGCTTTCTCTATGCTAAAGGCCTTAACATACTTCCAGTTTCATCATCACCGAATAACTGATCTAATTCATTTTTTATATAATGGAAGCATGCAAGGACACCAATAAACCTTAGATTCTTACCCTATTCTTACAGCATTCTCTGAAGTTATCCACACAAAAGGCCAAAAATAACCTTGGAAACAACACAGAAAAAACCCCCATGTGTACATATACACACACAGAGAAGTATTTAAAAAAATCTCGTATATTGGTAGTTTGCTTGCAGTGACACAAAATAACATGGCAGTTAAGGCTCCTTACTCATAAAATTAATTTTAGGCACCTCCCTATTTACCTGACTAGAGATTCAAGTAAGCTGTTACTGAAGACTAAGGTCCAAAGCAAGGCTCAACGTAATAAGTCAGGTTTTTTTAAAAAAGTATTATTTTTTTAACTTCAGTCCTATACCTTTGAATTTTCTGCTATTTATTGTTAAGTATTACTCCTTTCAGCTTTATTCTGTGTTATTACAGGCCACATTTTGCCCAAGGTTAAAACCAAAAAAACAACTCGGTGACATTTTTATGAACAGTCTTCAAGTTCTCTCAGGCTCAATGACAGCGTTTGGGATTTTGTTTGGGATTTTTAAGCCATTAAACACTGTCGGCTCTCTGTCCCTGCGCTCCGCCAAGCCAGCAGCGTTACACAAGCACACACTGGTGCCGCTGCCCCA